CCTCCAGTTGTCTCCATCACTGGAGGCTCAGAGATGCTGGTCAGAGCTGTGGAACGTTCCAGAAACACTTGGTCTCTTTGCTTCTTTATCTGCTTCACTGTGAGCTTATTGAGCTGTACGAGCTGGGACACTAAATTCAGTCCAGAATGTGCACAATTGTTCTGCGTCTCAGCGTCGGTTTGTTTTGCTGTTATCTATTTGTTATTCTGACAGTAAACCAAACAGCGTCTCTGAAAATGAAAATGGGTTTTATGTATGGAGTAATAACCTAAATGGATTTCCTTCTCTCTCTGTGTGTGTGTCTGCAGCGCTCGGGGAGCCTGTGGCTATTTATCTGCCTGTGTCTAATTATTCATTAGTGAACACAGAGAAAGCAGCACAGAAAGTGTAGCTGTGCGCTCACTGTAGCAGATCCTGCACAAACCGATGCTACACAACTCTGGAACCTCTGGATTTTCACACACTGGAGGCAGAGATGTGACATGTGTGAGCGTCCTCTGTGCTGCAGACGCACAACAAAGCCTCCAAACATCACCGACCCGCGCTGGAGAAACAAGCCGCTGCTGCTACTGAGCACAAAACACAAATCTTTGCCTGTAAAATCATCTTAATGAGGCTGCAACACAACTAATCCTGTCCCAGTTTGGCAAATGTTCCTAAACCCGGTGCTTTGCAGACAAGTGGCCAGCAGGGGGCGCTGCAGCCGCCGTACAGAGCTAAACCCAAACCACAGGTGTGTCATGTGGAGATTCTGTCACTGAAAACTGACGTTTCTCTCTTTAGCTTTAGAGGTCAAACGCTGCTGGATTGTGGGTAAATAGATTTAAAGTCATATTTATAGAATGACACTGAATGCTGCTTTAACCATTGGGTCATTTTGGATGCTTTGAACTGATTTATTTTGTACATTTAGAATAAAAATGCATTTTTTCTCTGCATTTAGAAAAACCCGTCGTGGAGAGAATCGGTGCAATATTAATAAAAATTTGTGCAATATCAGTATTTTCTACTCGTCTGTGTGATATCAATGCTTTTCTAACAGGAGAACAATTATGTGCAATATCTATTTTTTTAACATATAAAAGAATAGATATTGCATTTTTGTGTATTTCTTGTTTATTTTATTTTTCTACTCATGTTTTCTACGTTTCTGCTCCGTTTCCTGCTGTATGATCAAAAAAAGATGATCTTATCCTCTCCGTACCATGTGAGAAACGCTGAGTCACAGGTTCCAAAGATGACTCAGCTTCCTAGAACGTCTCTCCACTGAGGTCAAATCAGAACATCCATGTACCTGACAGAGGAACGAGCCTCTTCAGAGCCTCCTCAGTGGTCGGCCGGATCCCTGAAACACACGATTACGTCTTTTATTCTGAAAGTCTCACATGTAAATAAATGATAACATATAAGAACTTACAGCTGGTTCTGATTTCACAAACACACGAGCACAGATTTGATCAAGATTCCTTCACATCCAAACACATGAAAACAGATTTCTTAATAACATAAACAACCTGTACAGACGATAGTTCAGACTGTGAGCTCAGATTGTGTTTTTATTAATAAATATTATTTTCATTACTATAAAGATGATGTCTAATTCTAACAGCTGTGAGCTGTTTTGCAATAATCCAGTTAAATAATATGAGATCTTTTAATGGAGTCAGACCACCTTTAACATCAGGCTGCTGTAAAAACCGACAATGATTTATAATATTATCAATAACTTCACCCTGATGCGCTGAGATTTATACAACTTTTACAGAACTTATTTTTAAAAACTCACCTTTCTTCAGTTTCTAACATACATTTAATCGTCTACAATTTGTCCTGCCTCTGAATAAATGCTCCCAATCCATAAAAATATAACTTGATTTATCCCTTATTAGTGATATATTCTCATTTAAATGTGTAAACAGAGTCAGTAGACGTCATTTCTGGATCAGAAACATTAAATTATGGCACCTGCCTGCCATTCACAGCAAGGTTTTTATGTTTTCAAAGAAGAAAATGTTTTAATTTAAACAGTTAATGTTGATTAAATGGAAACACGACAGAAATACAGAATATTATTAGAAAGTCTAGTAAACCTAATGTTCTCCTGTCATCAACCAATCCAGTAAAACACTCTAAAAACACTGTTATACTCTGGTGCCAGTATTTTACAGTATTTTTACAGTTCTTGTGTACTTGTAGGACCTGATAAAAACCTTCATAGCGGCCCTGTGGATACTATTCGTTAGACAACACTGCCATCTAGTGGTGCAGGTTGTGTAGCGCACAGCAGCTTTGATCAGCAGTGAGTCAGCTGTGCTTCAATGTGGATGCTTCAATGTCAAGATCTCACTGGTCTGTTTGAACCTGTGACAGCTCTGCTGGATGTCTGCAGGCTCCAGTCTCGTGGCTTTTTAAAGGATTTGTAAAGAAACGAGGGAATTATTAAAAATATCTGCTTCATTCTGAGGCCTGACATGACCTTTAGTGACCTCTGTCTCAGCAGAGCATGACATTGTGCTCGTCATTCATGAACACATGAGTGAAGCAGGTGATTTTAATGAGACACCCAGAAAATTACTTTTGCAAGAGACGTATTAGTTAGAGCAGGGCCTCTGAGCATGCTCAGTGTAGACCTGCTGCTTCTAAACAGGAAATCTCACTGAACATCCTGGATTCAGTCACCGAAGCTCAGGTTCTGGTGAATGAATGCAGCCGGTGTGGACGTGGAAGCAGGATTATTTAAGTCTTAACAGAGGCTTGTGTTCAGTTTGATGCTTCCAGATGTTTTTTAGGAGTTTTTCCTCTGAGTTTATGAAACATCTGCAGCGTCAAACAGCAGCTGGATCCAGATGAGCAACATGAGAGAGTTTACACACAACACAACTAACTAATCAGTCAGTTTTACTTGTAAATTATTATTTTAGCAATGATAAGTTTAATCATTGTAGAGCTGGATATTATTTTACTACAATAAAACACATTAAGCATTGCCATGAGGCTGATTTTGCCTTTTGGCTGCATTTCTCTGATCATTAAACGAACACATTTTACTGTAACGATAAATTATCATCACACATGAGCAGAGTATTTTAATAAAATCATAAATAGACTGAATATTTTGCCTATAAGTTGTTGTTTTTTTACCCCCTTAAACACGTCACAGCATCTTTCCTGCTGCACTGTTTGGAACCTTTGTCACCCAGAAACCCCCAAAACACCTTCATCAGTGTTTAGCAGCTTTAATCTTTACGCTACAGCAGCATCACAGAACCCCTAAAATTTAATTATGGGTTTTGCTTTTTGTGCAATTCCACAATTTCCTATTTTCTTGCTCAGAACTACCTCTCAGAAACTCCTCTATAAGCATTTAATTGGCTCAGTGACAGTCCAGCTTCAGGCCCTACAGGGTTTCCTACCGACGCGAAGTGACCTGCAGGTGGCGCCATTGTATTTGGAGACGATCAGCCTTGTGTGGACGGTGAGTGGGTGGAGGAAGTGGAGGAAGTGCTGGCAGAGGCTCAGCTCAGTGGGTCACACGGCCGCCGGTTGGACTCCACAGAATAAAGTCGTTTTAAAGTTTATTCAAGGAAAGAGTCAAAGATTTGTAGGATTCTTTAAAACATAAAATATAAACATGTGAGAGTGTTCAAATTAATTTATTTTCTTCATAATCACGCAAAGCTTCGACTGTAACACAGTTCAGCTGATTTTTACCATTTAGGTTTGATTCTGTGATAATAAATATGATGTCTGAGCTGCTTCACTCTTCTAATTTATTACATCGATGTTTTAATAATCTGAACACATTTTTATGTTCATACAGGATTTTTTTTTCTTTCTTGTAGCTGTTAATTTGCACCATGAGCCGCTTAATGAATGAGTTCGTTTACAGAATCTGAGCTGCTGGAACTAATTCATGCAAAAACCTTCATAAGTCCATAAAGTGAATTTGACTCGTTATGAAAACGTAAAAAAAAAAAAAGAAAGAAAAGGGGTTATAATAAGATTAATATTTTGGTGACCGCTGCTATTTACAATCTGGTTTTATTGCCTGTATATATGTGCAGTGATTAATCTGAAGCAGGTTAATAAGAGCAAGAAGAAAATATGTTGAAAATATTTTAAACTATTAAATTCAAAGACAAGATTTTTATTTTTGATCAAAGATTTTAGTATTTTATGAAGTGCTTTATTAAATATGCGCGCTGGGATGTTTCCTTCTCTTTCGCGCAGCACCGTTTGTTCGTATCAGACAGAAATTACATCTATAAATGTGATGTGTAATATTTTTATCTACTTTATTATTTTATTTCGATTATCTAGAATATTTAAGTTTGCAAGAAAAGGTACAAACTACAGCTGCAATCATTTTCTTTTTTAATCCATCTATCTTCCTGTCTGCTCTTTCTGTACTTTTTTCTTTAGCATCATTATAATTATTTTTTATTATTTTCTGCATTTATGTTGTGCAGGTAAACACCAACCAGCAGCACTGACTTGGATTTGTAATTTGTGTGAGTTTTGTTTCTTCAGAAATTGTCGAAATAAGAATATGACCTTCCAGAGGACGCAAATGTTTCACACGTTCCTGAACGTTTCCAGTTTACGCATCAAGGTGCATTTTGGTGCGTCTTTTACGCATCCTCTGGTTTTACGCATCCTCTGGTTTTACGCGTGGACGGTGCGTTCCTAAATCACTCCCTCCCCCCCTCCCAAAAAAAGGACCAGTATTTATGGGTTTCCAGCTTTTTTTTTTCTTTAAAATAACATTTATTTTCAGCATATTCATACAATGTGACAGCACAGCTTGTAACATTTGAAGAGGAACTGACTTGATCCAGCACTTTGTCACAAAATATTTGAGCTGACTAACGGATAAATGAAAAGTCAAATAGAGCATAGCATTTCATATTACCAAATGCAATATATAATACAGGCAAGT